GACAATTAATTAGTAGCACGCAGCAAACTTACGTAGAAGGGATGATCTTTATAGAGAAGTGCGTTCAAGATTATATAGATAAGACATTAGGATAGAAGGTAGATAAGGTGTAGTCTTAGCGAAGGTGTGCAGCTTAGTTGCCGCTTACGTTATGAAACCATTCATATTATCAACAAACACGAGCTCAGATCTTTGTTTGAGCAAGCACTCCGACCTTGACCCACGCATCACGAATAGCCATCTGCACCGACTTATCGACAAATTCCTCTCCGGCGATATCCACTGTAGCTCTCGCGAAAGTCTTGAAATCGCAGTTGGGTTCAATCTTACCTGAAATCATGGTCTTGTACCACACCTTGCCAGCCCTTTCCCAAGAACTCCCACCAAGAGATTTCGTAGCAAGATAGAAGGCATGATTCGGGATTTCAGAGTTGATATGGACGCCTCCCCTATCATTAGGCCCTTTGTAGAGATCGTCCATGTGCTTTGGCTGCGGGTCAGTTTTGAAGATAGGGTCGTCCTTATATGCTTTCCCAGCCTTAAAAGTTCGTAGCGCAGAACCCGTAAACGCCACCGGAAAAAGCGTCTGGCCGAGAATCCAGTCCGCATCATCCACACTCTGATGCATATGCCATTGCTCGACCATGGAGCCAAAGATATCGGCACAAGACTCATTCAAGGCTCCGGACTGCGATGCATATTCAAGCGGTGAGGAGAATTGGACAAAGCCATGACTCAGTTCGTGGGCGATGACATCCAGCGAGTCGGTGAGGAAGTCAAAGGTGATGTGGTCGCCATCGCCGAAAACCATTCGCTGCGCTTCACCGTCCCAGAAAGCGTTGTTGTACCCATCTGGCGTGCTGCTCAGTTTGTAATGGACGCTGCCAATAAGAGGCTACCCTCTGCCATCAAGGGAATTGCGGCCGAATATCTTCGAAAAAAAGTCGTGCGTGATTTTGAATCCGTCGTAGACATTGTTGACTTGGCGGTCCTTAATGCGTACCTCTCCTTCTGATCTCGCAAGCGTTCCAGGGAGATTGTCGGTTCCATTGCAATTGTAGATCTTTCTTTGCACGAGGCCTGGCAGTGTAGCCTCTTCTGCCACCAGAGTTTGCTAGATTGCTTAGACTCAGCAATTGCCCCAAGGACGTATTTGGGGGTGAAGCCTCTCCCAGCATCTGGAGGACTAACCTGAGTTCTAGCGCACAGCTCATGACGTTGAGTGGCATAGGATGTTCCATGTTGAAGCGTATGTTTGCAGGCAGCACGAGAAATTTCCCCGACAGGATCAGGTTTGGCGATGGCAGAGTCGGCTATGGCTGAGAGAATGTATGGAGGCACAAAGCCGCAGATAGGATACGGCTGGACATTTCCCATGATAGAGGTTGAGTAGGAGGTCGGAAAATAAAAGCTTTTGGTAAGAATAGAGAAGTGAAGGATTCGATCGTCTCTGGATGAAGGAGAACGACGCTGTAGCCTAGGGTTAGCAGGACTTATATATTACGGTTCTTGGGAAGCTTGGATTTATAATACAGTGTAGACAGGGATCAGTTCTCAACCCTCATATCAGTGTTGTACCGGGTAGTTCCAGCTGAGCTGACTGCATATTGCTTCAGCACCACGTTTTTGGCGATGCACGATCTAGGATATCTCCTACTTCGAACACTGCACAAGTTATGTGCACTTCAACCAACAGGGCATCCGCCTTTTAGTAAAGCTGAAGGGCGGAATAGAAGACGTATGAATGGCACGATAAAGCGACCACATTGCTAATGTTTCAGCTCTACCAGTATGAGTTTCCAAGACTCTGGGGAACACCCCGCATCCGCGAACCAGCCAACGGGCCTGGTTTGACGACTTGCAGATACCACACAACACCATCTTTTGCATGGATAACTCCAAAGCTGCCTGGGCGCTTAAGTACTACTGGAGAATTTTCAGCTTTCGCCTTTTCAGCTGCGCTTGGCTTGCTTGGCGAAAGTCTATATTGCTCGGCCAAATCTTGTGTGTTAAACTCTGAGGCAACTGAGCTAAGGGAATAGTGGATCCACTTAACCGTTCGAATGGGATACTTCTACTCTGTTGTGCTTTTAGGGTCTCGTTGTCTTATATAAATCTAATTCTTAGGATGTCAATTACTAAAGCACAACGAAACCAAAGTGCCAGGTCTAATCAAGAAGCTGGAATAGGGGGGGACATCGGGGGCCAGTGTGTAGTAACTAGATTACTTTTTACTGATTGCTGCGAGCTCCAATTTAACTTCAGTAGAGATTCCGCGGCAATATTTCACATCTCAAAGAAACTGTATATCCTCGTTCAAAAGAGCTCATTCTGAAAGAAACGAAACATTGATGCGACATGGAAAGTAAGCCCAATCGCCACAGTTGCAGGTGGACTTGGCGGTTTCGGGACTACATTCGCTGGAGGAATGCCCCTTCATGCGAACTTTCTTCGAGTAGATGACCCTCTTTGGGAGTTCAAGATTATTGGGTCTTACTGTCAGATAATAGCACTGTTGAAGATAAGAGCGTACAGACGCTGGGTTAGACTAGCGCGACCCAGCATCTGAGAGAGCTAATCGGATCACAGGAAGGCTTAGCACCCCCCAGGTGTGCCCACAACCGTAGACAGAACCAACACACAATTAATTATCAATATTATCACTATTATTACCTATTTTATTAGTATTCCAGATAAGAGTGAATATCTGACAATTAAGAGTCTCACTACCTTTACCTACTTACCAAAATGACCATATTTACCACCCGCGACGCGACCGTGACTTTACGCGACTAGTTAGACTACACCAGATAGATGCTGCAACTACAAGCGCGTTGCGTAGCGCACAATATTTGGGATAAGATTAACCTAAAATCTACTACTTAGCCCCTTCGGGAGCCAAAAGACATTAGAATCCTAGTATTCGCTAACTACTAAGCAGCTGCTAGCATCGGAGAACTAGAGCGCCTAAGCGAGCTGTCTAGCAGCGGGCAAAAGGCATTTAAAGAAGATCTTAAGTACTATCGTATGTCGATAGAGCAGTACAAGAGCGACCAACACTAGTACGAAAAGGAGTAATTAAGCTTCTAACATATTATAACCTTAATTTAATTAAGCGTGTTACTACACCTACTACGCACATGCTGTCTCCTAGACAAGACATTACGCGAGTGGATTGCTAACCTACAACTAACCGTTGGGGTTGATAACGAGACTAAGAAAGACCAAGCACGCGAGCGCTATCTTGCGGCCCTACGGCCTATAAGAAGCGCGGCGCAATAGGACACGTAGCTAGCTAAGTATAACTAAGCCGTAACCTACGCGGAGACGTACAATGTCCCTAAGCTATCCTAGCTTAGCACAACAATAAAAGACTTCTTAGCAGCTGTTAATAAAACTACACCTATATAGGCCACTAATTTTTAGGATAATAGTTGTGGGGCAGTAGGTATGAGCTAGAAGGAGGTAATGAAACGGTTCCGAGAGCATATAATGATAAACTATCCCCTTAGATTAGGGAAGCACAAAGCAGCTATGGCAGCTTAGGATAGACTATATAGATTAACTCTTGCTAGTGGTGAATCCAACTAGGAGCTATTAGGGACGCCTTATAGTTCGAAATCCGGGCTATCGACAAAAATAAAACTAGAGTAGACCTCGCTAACAACGTACTAGGGACGTCCTCGTAAACAACGCTAAACTAGAGTAGACCCTAATACTAACGTATAAGCTAGAAGCACAAAGTCTACACTTAAGAGATCTTTAAAACAAGACTCTTTTACTACTGCTAGAGTACAATGCTAAGTATATAGACAATATTATAGCATTAGAATATGCTTTTATCTCTACCTAGAGACTGCCCTAGAATAGTAGCAACCTAATAAGACAATAAGCGAGCTTATTAAGTTTAGACGCATATATAATTCATCGTTTTAAGGGCTAATCCGCGGACAAAGCAGACCCCATACTCGCACACTAGTGCTAAAGTAATTACATACACTAACCCTAGATCTCTCTTAGTTACTAATCGAATGACTAGAAGGCTGAAAGATTACGGACGTAGACGCCGCGTTCACTACTATCGCACGGAGTGGGACAGCTAAGCACACGTACCCTCTCGCACGATTATTTATTCTTAATTCAGTAGCGACGTGCTACATCACAAATAATCTAGATCGGATATACAACTACTGCCCGTTATTATTAGGAGACTACATATAGGCTAGTAGTATAAAGATTTAGATACGAGGATACGGGACTACAGGTATCACGCTGCAACATTAGCATAGGACAATAAAGCTAGTGCTGCAAGATATGGCAATCTGCCTAGAGATCGTATACAATCTAGTGTCCTTCCGACTGCTACGGCAGAGAGGAATCTAGTAGGATACTAAATTAAACCTAACTAACTTATAAGGACTTAACGATTAAGTTATAAGTAACCTCTTAGAAACTTTTAGCTAGTGGGTATTAGAGTACAGTCCTCTACCCTAGGTATTTATCTATATAAGAGCCATCACAACACGCACGCAGAGAGGACTAAAGAAGGCTTCAGCGATGCTATAGCACAAGAGACTCGGCTACCTAAGACTAGCAGCAATTAAGCACCTCGTGCAGCAGTCTAAGGGGGTGCGAGTCTAAGGAGTAACGACAGTATAATACGACTCCTGCGGAAGAGCCAAGTCTAAGAGATAGATACGACGCTCACTGCGAACTAACGACGAAGGCCTAAGAGAGCGACTCGCTATCGACTTCTATACATATAAAGCCTAGGCGATCACAAAAGAGAAGAGCTAAATGCTTATTACTAATCGTTTTTTAGGCCTCTAATAGGACCTATACTTTACTAACAACTAGATAGCTAAGTCTATTATCTAGCTACTTATAACTTTCTTCTTATTTATAAAGAACTATTATAACATATCCGTTAAGACTATAGAGTCTAATAACGAGATCACAACTATTAAGCTAGATGTCGAGCGATAGCTAGCAACACAAGGTATTAGAGTCGAGCCCTTAGCCCTAGACACATAGGCACAAAACGGTAGAGCTAAGCGCTCAGGGGGTGTAAACAAGGAGAAGGCACGCGTAATGCGACTTAACGCTAATCTCTCTTAGGAACTATAGCTAGAAATTACTTAAGCCGTAGTCTATCTCTATAACAGAACCCTAAACTATAATAATTACTAGAAGACACTATACGAAGTCTTCTTCACACGAGTAGCTTTTAGCAACGGAATAGTTACATCTCTCTAAAAACTAAACCTTACTTACCCTAAGGTATTTAGCTGTAAAGCTTTCGCTATAACAGACAACACTTATAGAGAAAAGTCGCGCCTATAACGCCTCGACCTAAAGGCATAGATTAGATACCTAGTTAGATACTAGTTATCAAACATCTACTAAATCTAGATACTATTACTCGCTAAAGTAATAAGCACTAGAGACGTCGTCTTCGACGAACATTTAATTTTTAATAGCAAAACCGAAGACCTAATAGACAACCTTATGCACAATACGCTAGAAGAAATCACGACACACGTGAGGACCATTAAGCTGCCAACACTAGCGCAGCAACTAGAGACGGAGTCCTTCTATAAGGACAGTCTACTAGAGGAGTAACTCGCTCAGGACAGCGAGGGCGACCAGCTAGGATACTATTAAGGGAGAAAAATCTGGGACAGCTACCCAACACCTCTAGCGACACCGCCACCTGCAGCGTTGCTCGCGCGGCTAATAGCAGGAGCATCGCTAGATAAGAAGGATCGACAAGGAACCCCTAAGACTGCCCTATAGGCAGCAGCGTTTATAGCGGGTACCTAGGCTAGAAAGGTTAGAGAATATAGAGGAGTAGCTATAGATAAGGCTGCAATTATAAGAATACTCGCTAAAGGCTTAAAGCCCTATCGTAGCTAGCTACCACCTTTGCTAATATACTAAACTAAGCTTAAGGACCACCTAATAGGAGAACTATTTAAAGAAGCAGAACAGTCCTATCTAGTAAGCTACTATTAAATAAACTTATAGATAGAGATCCCTATAAAGAAAATTAAGCAAATAAGACAACAAATCCTAGACTGTATATAGGTATACACCTACAAACTGAACAAGCATCACTAACTACTTAAGTGCAAGGCACGACTAGTCGTCCGCGGTGATTAGCAGCAAAACATTACATCGCAAGATACCTATACAGCAACACTCGCAAACTGGTCGTTCTAAAGGCTAACCGCAATTGTAGTAAAGTACGACCTAGAGCTTAAATAGTACGACGTAGCAAACGCCTTCGTGCATACGATAATAGACTAAGAAGTATTTATAAGAATGCTACGCGGCTATTAGAAGCTAGGCACTATACTTAAGCTTAACAAGGCATT